GGGGGGGGGGTGGAGGGGTGGGCAGAGCCAGCCTGTTTCCCTTTCTCTTGCCTTTGTGTCTGCTGCTTGTAGCATCACAGGTAATTGGACAAAAATGAGAGGAAGAGTGCATTAGGTCATCATTCTGGGGGTTTCGTTTGCTGTCCTGCTCTGGTCTTCTAGAACCAAAGGTCTGTAAGTCACTTTTCCTTGACTAATAGGCTTATAGACTATTATCAGACTTTTTTAAAGACTAAATTACTCTAAACACCTGGCAGGAAAAAGAAAAGCAACTTACTATAGATTTTGTTTCTTACAAATAATCAAGCATTGCTAGGCGTGGTGGTACACACCTTTAATCCCAGCACTCGGGAGGCAGAGGTAGATGAATCTCTGTGAGTTCAAGGCCAGCCTGGTCTCCATAGCAAATCCAGGCCAGCTGGGGGGACAGGGAGACCCTGTCTCAAAAAGACCAAAAACAAAACAAAAAACCCAAACAAACAAACAAATAATCAAGCATGCTAAAGCTCGCTTTTTTAGGTGAGACCACTTAGCAAGTACAAGAAATCTGCAAATTCCATGTATTTGGCAAACATTTATTGAGTGCCTGCTTTGTGCCTGGCACTTTGTTAGGCACCCAGGTGACAGCCATCCAGGCAGAACTATTCCCACCCATAAGAACAAGTCCTGCTGAGAGCTTCTAAAACAATTTTTTGTTACTTACTGCCAAGTGAATGATAGGAAATTTGATAGACATCTAGTTCAACTTTCTGTTACAGATTTAAAATTTCTTAGTGGTTGTTTTGAAAAATGTGACTATGGTAAAATGTTTATATTTCATAATAGTCATGGGAAGGGGGAGAAGAGAGTGAGGTAACTTTGAGCCAGGTATCTCAGTACACACCTGCAAGCCCAGCATTCAGAAGACTGAGGCAGGAGAATAATGAGTTCCAGGATAGCCTGGACTATATAACGAGACCCTATTTAAAAGAAACACTGTTTCAATGGAGAATATATTACAACTGGTGAATGTACTTTGCTAGTAGAGTGGTGGTACAAGGTCATCTTATTGGGGTAGCTGGCCTTTGGAATCTGGTTCATTACTGTCCCTGTCACCCTCGTTGCTGTCCATCCACCAAGTTCATCAGGTGAGATGGGACTGAGTTGGACCAGATTCCATCACATGGGACCCTTCCCTGTGGGAACTACAGCTCAGTAGAGAGGAACTGTTTCTCATAGTACATGATTGTACTATTAAATCTCTCTGGGCTGTAGTTTTTAATGCAGCAGAGTTGACTTATTCTTAGCAGTCTTGTTAAAGTCGAGTCTCTACATAATGGTTTAGAAAACAAAATGTCATAGTCATTTTAACAGTATTTTTTAAAAAACAAACATGCAGTCTACAGCTAGAAATGAAAATGCACTTGAGCTATATTTCTCAAGGTGTCACTCTTCACAGCCTAATAATCCAGGCCTAGGATTCCTTTGATGGCTAATAATTGTTCAGACACCTTGAACTGTCTTTTAAGTGCTTATGTGGTTTTTGAATGCCTGAAGATAGAGGAATAACTCTTTCACAAGATTCATCTCTTGCCCTCAAATTTGCAAACAGACAAGTATACACACAGTGCTTGGCCAGAACCCTCTAATTCTGTCTTTTAATTCCTACCCACACCACCTTCTCTATGTTCCCCTAGCAACAGCAGGTATACTAGAATCGCCTCAATTTTAGTGAAGAATTCCTTGGTCTTTGCTGAGGCTGGATAATAATGGTTGGAGTAAAGACATCCCAATTTAGGAATGGGTGAGGAGTTGAGAAACTCTATTCTGTGTTCCCTCTAGATTTTTCTAGTTCAGAGAGATGAGGAAGAACCTAGGCTGGGGACTTCCAGCATTTCTAACCAAATATTATAGCTCGAACTTGCCCTCATCATGAACCATCTGCTGCTGTGAGGTAGGCAATGCTTTCCAAAGAAATAATTTAGAATACTACAATCAGTTACCTCGCTCTATAATAATGTGCCAGAAACCAGACATTGACTAGCATGAAGAAACTGAAATAGAAGTGTGTATATTTTTGATGAGCATACTATTCTGGCTTATCTTTTATTTTCCTATTATAGCTTGCATGTTGAGCCTGGGGAACTAATGACCATGAGAGATCATTCATGGCTTGTACACGTAAAGTGCCTGTGGAACAACTTGAACTTTAGAGTCCTAAAACAGCTACCATTTTGTTCATAAATTTTTTTTGTTTCAACCTTTTCTTAGAAAAGGGAGTGGGGTGGATGGAACAAAAAGATAAGAACATAGAATTATTTACAGCTTTATCATAAATCCATTCTTTTTTCTTTTCAACAATTTAGTCTTGTAATCTTTGAGCAGTTAAAAAAAAGGAACAGATGAGTATCATATTAAAGAAATGTAATTTGTTTACCATTAAAAAATAAATGAAGGGCTAGATAGTTCCTCGGTAGAGACTCGCCTAGCATGCATGGGTTTAGTTCACTACTCTGCAAACAAGCAAAGAAATAAATATGTCAGTAATGTTAGAGTGTTTTACTTTTGAAATTGAAAATTTGATCTAAGAACAAGAAAACGTTTCTGTTCACTCTTCAATCGTTTTCACAGGTTACTAACATTTTGCCACATATTTGCAGAAATTGCACCTCTTTGCTCCTAAATATTTTAGTGTGTTTATCCTTGGATCGAAGATAGTCTCTAACAGAACCACAACTATTAAATCATAAAGCTATATAGCTCAGTGATAGACTGTTTCCCTAGCATGAGCAAGGACCTGAGTTTAATTCCCAATACTGCAAAATAAAAATCAAAGCTGGATATATCAGCCTTTAATCACAGCAGAGGCAGGAGGATCATTGTGAATTTAAGGCCAGCTTGATCTACATAGGGAATTCCAGGCCATCCAGGATTATAATAGGGAGACCCTGTCTCAAAAAAGAAGAGAAAAAGAAAACCAGGAAAATTGCCATCAACAGTTTGTTTGGCATATGTCCAGATACTACCAGCCATTCATTCCCTCTTGTGTTTTGTGAAGCGGACTTTGCTAAACACTGTTAATTCCAGATAATAGTAAGTGGCTTCTGTGATACCTGCTTTCATTCCAGATTATTAGTGAGTACCTACATTTTTAATGCAAAGAATCAAATTCGGCTGATGTATTTCATGTGTTAGCACTTTGACTTATGAAACTACATATAAATGTACCAGACTTGAAATAATCTGCTTTTATGAAATAATTGCATTTTTATCTTTGATACTTTTCCAAAGATGAATCCTAAAAATTTTAATGTATCATTTATTACTTCTATTCAAGGATTAGTGGACTTTTCTTGTTTTTTTGCTTTAACTAAAAACATCACTAACAAAGGGTGATCATCATGGCCTTGTCCATGTGATGCCTTTAGACAGACACACTTTTCCGTTCCAGCCCAGTGTATAGCATTGTCAGACTCAAAATGAGGAAGCTTCTATAAATGTACTAGACTTTATTTTTCAAAAATGACCATACCCTAAAAGGCTAAGTCCAAAGAACTGTTCTGATTTTAAAGGCTAAAAGACAGCAAGACATGGTGGTGCTCATCTGCAGTCCCAGCCCTTGGGAGGTGGAGGCGGGAGGATCAGGGTTTCAAGGCCAGCCTTGGCTACGTGAGGTCCTGTTTCAGACAAACAAATGCCAGGATATCTGGAAATATATGTAGCATGTGATCATGATGGATTCTGACCCTAGAAGGGAAACTGACTTTGTAGGATCTCATTGGGATAATTGGTGAAATTGTAGTTTGCACTGAAGGTAATACCAATGTTTAAATGTCTTGACTGTGACAACTATTATGGTTTAAGAGAATATTCTTGTTCCTAGGAAATACGTGCTCAGTCATTAAGGGTCCTGGAGTGTACGTACCACTATCAAATGGTTCAGAAAGTGTGTGTTTGGAGAAAAATAATAAAGTAAAAGTGGCAAAATGCTACTGATTGGTGGTTGAGGAAGAATGTACAGAAGTTCTTTGGTGCTATTCTGCCACTTTCTGTCATTTTTAATTTTTCACTACCAGTTCTTTTAAAGTTGAATATTAAATGTCTAAGAGCAAGTATTTTATCCTTTATCATGAATTGGTAAGCTTGGGCAGCTAAAAATCTTGACTTCAAAGCAGAGCACAGCAGTTAATATTTAGCACAATCAATTGTTCTATGGAACAAACAATAACTATTTTTTTATTGTTTTTACTTAGATATTTTATGACCTGGTCAGACAGATAAATAGAAAAACACCAGTGGAAAAGAAGAAACCTAAAAAGAAATCGTGTCTGCTGCTCTAGACCTGAAGTCAGCAGCAGCTCTGAGCCAGGTAAGATGCCAAAGCAGAACAGATGCCTTTTTGATTGTTTCCTTTTTCCCCAACTCTAGCCCTTCTGGGTGTTTCTGAGCTTGTTACTTGTAAATGTCACATACAACTGTAGAGATACATTTGTCTGTTGGGTAATTTGCCTCCTTCCCTAGAGAGTCTTAAGATCTGAGCGTAAGGACCATGTCTGATTTGCTTACAGCCACACGCCCAGCACCTGCCTTAGTGGGTATTCAAAAAATGGTCACAGGGATTGGGGTAAAGCACTTGCCTAGCATGTGCAAAGTTTCAGTGTGCATGCCTGCATACAGACACACACACACACACAGGAAAAAAAAGACTTGAATTCTCAATTAATAAACTGCCTTCCTACTTGACTCCCAAATTCAAACTGAGTTACAGTGTGTCAGTGATTCTTCTAGAAAACAAAACGCATAAGTGCACATGTGATGAGTTATCTCAAAGTGAGCACCTGTATATCAAAAGTGCTCACTCCCCTTAAGTGTCTTCCTGCCCTGAATGCCAAAACCATGGATTTGTTTGCTCATCTTTGAACTTAACATAAATAACAACATGTAATGTGCTGTTTTATGTCTGGCCTCTTAATTTTAGAATCATCCATGTTGCATGTAGCAATAGTTTATTTTTATTATATGATAATGATGCATTTATTGTTTGGTATGTATTCTGCTCTTGAGGGACTTTTGAGGAATTAGTATGAATAGTTCTGAGCCTAGCATAGTGGCCTGTGCCTACAATTCTTCACTTGGAGACTGCGGCAGGAGAATCAGGATCAGGCCAGCCTCTACTGCATGTTGAAGTCAAGACCAGTTCAAGCTTCATGAGCCCCTGACTCAAAAAACTAAAACAAACTAAAACAAAAACAAAAGAAAGTGTTGGATGGTTGTGTTGTTCTGATTTGTACATGTTTTACTCGCATGCGTGCATTTCTGTTGGCTACATGTCTAGAAATGCAGTGGCCAGCCCATGTGCAGTACATACAGATGACTTTCATGCATAGTGCTGCAAAGTTTTGCAAGTGCTTGTTCCAGGGTCCGGAGTACCAGCAGTTCATGAGTTCCACATCCTCCCCAACGTTGGTATTTCCAGGCTTTTTAACTTGAACCATTCTGACTGATGTGCGGTGGCATATCATTGTAGTTTGTTAGTCAATTCTTCTCAATTGTGGGTGGCTTCTTTCTCACAAATGCTTTGCCAGTCTGCTTCCAAGTGTAGCTGATTTCAAGTAGCATTTAAGTTTTCATTAGGTGGACCCACTGGAGAGAAAATCTGTGGCAGCATTTGCTTTGCCTGCCAGGTGAGAAACTAGGCTCCATGGGGCCAGTTATTTATTTTCCTTTAATTATCTATTTAAATCCCCTGAAGTGTCTCCTTTGTCAGCTATAAATAATATTTTAACAAAATGCATCCATGGAGCAGATTTATGATGTTTGATGAATGTGGCTGTACTTGATGGAGTTGGAAAAGGAAAGTAAACCCACTTCAGAGTTGATTGAACTAACTACTGTCAGTCTCTTGGGTCCATTTAAGAAATTACCTCTTCCAGAGTGCCTGATTAACTAATTTGTACTCCTTAGAGATACGAATGAGTAGATATCTCTTAGAGAAAACAGTTGAGTAACTGTACCCCCTTTTTAAGGAAAATGGGAGAAAGGGCATAGGGATTGTCTGTGGTAGTCAGACTTGAAACGTCAGCTTCTGACTAAGTGGTTGCCTTGGGATTTACTAAAATTGATTTTAAAACTTTAGATCATTAGTTCTCTAAAAGTTATTTCTGTTAAGATTGCTAGCGTTTGTGTTTTTGTTTCTGTTTTTGTTTTTTTAAGGAGGGGTACAAAGCTAGAAAAATGAGGATTCTGGATGGTAATGTGTTTTATTCTTTTGTATTTGGCTGACTCATTGACACCATTATCTTAGCCGCTGAGTTTTAACTTTACATTCTCCGAAAATGTCCTTTTAGCTTAAATATAAAGGAAAAGATGCCATCTCTTGGCCCTCTGTGATTTTAAATTCATTCACACATGAGGCTTACCTTCGGTACAAGAAATTTTGCCCAGATCTAGAAGTAAACTTTCATACTAGCTGCACCCATTCCGAGACTGGTATGTAGTTCAGTTTACGATACAGTCCCCTGAGATCGTCAGGGGTATGTGATCATGCCAGATAATGGAGGCCTTAGCAATCAAAATACTTGTAGTGCTTTTTTTTTGTGATTTGAAATGCTGTGTTCCTGTTTTTGTTTTTGTTTTTAAGTACTAAAATGTGGCATGGTGGCACATACTTGTAGTCCTCGCTTCTCATGCTGAGGTAGAAGGATCACTTGAGCCCAGGAGTTTGAGACCACCCTGGGCAACATAGCAGGACTTGAGTTGAAAAGTTATGAGATAACAGGGTAGATTTAAGTAACAGTAAGAAATGTTGTGGTTAAGAGTATATGGACCTTGAAGACCACTTCTGTAAACTGTAAGCAGAACTGTACTGAAACATGTTAATCTCCTTTATATGTCCCATTTTTAAATAACAGAAAATTTTATCACCAGGAGTTCTTCCTCTAAACACATTGAGTTGTGCTGAGTAGTAGGGCTTACTGATCCTTGTGCCTTTGAGTATGGGCTGTTTCTGTGCCTTCTCTCGACATAGACTGTGTTACAAGTCGCTGATATAAGGTCTGAAAATGGCTGGATGAAGAATTTCCCACAGAGAGTTTATGTAGACAGATGTTGAACATTTAAAAATAAGACAGTAGTGGGGTACAAATGCAATAGCGCTGTCAGCCTCTCACACACAGGATTGTCAGATATAATGTGAGATACTAAGTATAATAAAACTAAGGACAAGCTAAAACTGATTACTAATGGACTGTGAACTCAGTGTTTTATATTTGATTTTGGATTTTTGAGACAGTCTCATGTACCTCAAGCTTGCCTCAAATTCTCTGTGTAATCAAAGCCAGCCTTGAACTCCTGATCCTTGTGTCACCGTGCCTGGCTTAATTTTTAAAGGAAAGGTAAAATAGTTCTTTTACTGAAGTTTGGTATAATTTAGTTCCTTAGTAATGATTACTGAACGTCATTGTTTGTATGTTATTGGATACCTGCTTATTTACTGCCAACTTCTGATATTAAGATGTCTACATCTCTATTTAATATTCTAGATTACAGGAATGAAGAACTGTTGCCTAATTGGAAAGTGCCAGCATTCCAGACTTCAAAAACTAAATCTGAAGAGGCTTCTCCTGTTTTATATATTATGTGAAGAATTTAGATCTTATATTGGTTTGCACAAGTTCCCTGGAGAAAAAAATTGCTCTGTGTATATCTCTTGGAAAATAAGACAATAGTATTTCTCCTTTGCAATAGCAGTTATAACAGATGTGAAAATAAATATACTTGACTCTAATACAATTATACAAAAGAGCATGGATGCATTTCAAATGTTAGATATTACTACTATAATCAGATGATTTCATATTGACCTTTTTATCATGATTCCTCCCTGTCAAGCACTAAAAAGTTGAACCATTATACTTTATATCTGTAATGATACAGATTATGAAATCTCCCCTCAAACTCATTGCAGCAGATAACTTTTTTGAGTCATTGACTTCATTTTATATTTAAAATTATGAAATATCATCTGTCATTATATTCTAATTAAAAATGTTTGTGCATAATGCTTTGGAAAAATGGGTCTTTTATAGGGAAAAAAACTGGGATAACTGATTTCTATGGCTTTCAAAGCTAAAATATATAATATACTAAACCAACTCTAATATTGCTTCTTGTGTTTTACTGTCAGATTAAATTACAGCTTTTATGGATGATTAAATTTTAGTACATTTTCATTTGGTTTGTGTCTTTTTGTTTATAGATTAAGGCCCTTATTTTGTAATGATCATGTTGTTTAAAGTGCAGCAGTAGCTGCTTTTCTGCCTAGAATCAGCAGAAACTTGGCTTTAGATAAACTACACTAATGGGTGATTTCTATAGGAACAGACCTCGCACTTCCTGTTCTAGATATATTTATTCCTACTCTACAGTAAAATACATCAGACGACAGAATAGTTTTGTATATTCTCTCTTGATCTTAAAGATTGTATCTTATTGAATAAAATATCCCACTCTGTATTATTTTTATATGTAAAAAGATAAGTTTAATACTGTATCAGGGTTTGACTTTTACTATTTCAAATCTTCCACAGCTTGTAATTTCATCAAGGGAATCCTTTTTGCCATTGTTAATTTGTTGGTGTGGTCCAGCAATGAAGTGTTATGTGAAAATTTTCCAACCTGCTTTATACTGGATTGAAGAACTCGAGAGAAGTGAGTGAAGGTTAAAACACAAAACAGGGATGTGTTACTTTGCTCTGGCTGTAGATGAAGCAGTAGAGCAGTAGTGATATGAAGATTACGAAGTTAAATCTTAGGTTGCTGTGTAGTGCTGCTTTTCTTTTCCTTCCCAGTTACATGTTTTACAAAAGATAGGGCTTAAGCAGGACGCAGACCCAAGGTGATTCCACTGTGTATTCCCCATGAAGAAAGGCAGAGCCAGTGTTGTTAGCCTGTACACAGTGGAGAGGAAAGCAGCTTGCAAGCTTAGGAAACCCTGTGCCTTGTCCCCGAAAATTGAGACCAGTCCTAGAAAGTAAACCTTTGCTCAGGGATCTAGATACGGTCTCACCCCAGCTAGGTGTGAAGAAGTGCTCATGCCTTGCTGAGATTGCCAGGCCTGTGGCCAGCCCTTCAGTTACAGATTGAAAGTGAAAAGTCAGCTTTTAGATGTAAGACCTGACCAACCTGAGGAAATGTTTTTTCTTTTTTTTTTTTTTTTTTAAAAAAAAAAAACATAGTTGTTTGGAAAAATTAGAAACTGTATTCTTTTGAGTTTTTAATAAACTTAGTTACCTAACACTCCCTTCTCTTCATCCAGTTATGCATATGCCTGTGATTGAGGGGCATAAGTGAAATGATAGGGCCAATTTGTCCAGGCAAGAGAGGTTTTTTGTTTTTTTTTTTTTAATTGGGGTTTTTCTATGCTGCCCAGGCTGGCATCAAACTTCTGGGCTCAGGTAATCCTCCTGACCTCAGCCTCTCAAGTAGCTGGGACTACAGGAACATGCCACTGTGTCCATTTAGAGACATACTATATGTTAAGGTCCTCTAAAGTCATTATGCCTCTCAAACATTTCTTTGGACTTAAAATCATAGGCACACATCTTATAAACCAGTATAAGTTTCTAAATACCCTGTTATATGGGTTGTCTGTTTGTTACATTAAATAGAAATCTTACTAGTAGCATAAAATTTTTAGGGGGTTCCTTTGTCACATCTTACATAGTTTATTTGAGTTAAAGGTAAAACTTTCATGAAAAATACCTTTTTGACACCCAGAGGAATTCAGGACAAGACCAGTGAAATCTGAGATGTGTGCTGCCGTTTCCTAAGGGAAATCTGTGCTTGCTTAGCAAGCTAGAAAGTGTCCTGTTAGAGAGGTGTGTTTTATATTGTCCTTGTGTGACCTCCTTGGTCTCCGCTCCTCCGCTCCAGAGGAAAGGTACCTGTAGACAAGATGTATTTTTACAGCTAAGAAATCAAGAGTCTCATGGTTAATCTCCAGGAACTAATTCCATATTAGTGTTTGTGGCTGCTTCAGGTATAATATCTTTGGTTGTATGAGTGGTAAATATAAAGGAGGCTTGATGCCACAATTAATTGATAGTGTTTTTTTCCAGCTAAAACACAAATGACTTTAATGGTTCGTTAATGTCCCCAGTCTGGTTTTAGAATTAACAGTAAATACATAATCTGTCATCTCACTCTCCACCAGGGGGAGCTTCAGTATCAAGATGCTTCTACAAGCATTGCAGTAAAAGCATTTTATACACACTTCCTTACAAAGAGGCATGGAGGCTCTCAAGTTTACAACTCAATAAGGCAGGAAAGAAAAATTTGCCGTAGGTATGAATCCCATTAACTTACTCAATGAGCTGTGACCAGTTGAGTATTTCTCTTACTGTTGGAGAAAGTGAGTATTAGTGGGTAACTCCCTTCTCTCCATAGCTTTGAACTCATTTCTGTCTGGCACCTTAATCTGCCATCATCAGTGGCCACATTTTACTCCACAGTAAAATAGTCCATTTCTCTGATGTTGTAACGTACTTGGAAAAGTTAATACTTATGGAAATGTTGACTTTTATTATGAACTTCATTAAAAAGTAACTTGATTTGGAGTTATTTTTCCACATATGAATAGTAAGAAAAAATATTGCATGTTTTGAGCCTGGCCATTTTCAAATAGTTTGTGTCCATCCCCTCATTAGCCAACAAATATTTGTCAGTTCCTGTGCCTAAGTTCTGTTCTAAGGACTGAGGGGCAGAAAGAGAATGACTGGGTGCCACATTTTCCTCTCTGGCCAGTACTTACAAGACTTTAAAAGAGAAAATGTGCTCTTAGAAATTGTGTGTTGAAACCAAGTGAGGAAACTGTCAAGTGATTTAGAGAAGAAAAATAATTTGCAAAATAACCTTTTATTTGGCCCTATGCTTAGTTAAATAAAGGTGCTATGTAGTGAAATAGCCCCAGTGAATTTGTATCAACTTCAAAAGGCTGATTTGTTTGGGTACTCACCCGGGGCCTAGAAAGAGCCCATCTTCAGGTAATCTGGTGAATGTGAGCATGGGGAGGATCTTGCCACTAGCTATTAGCATTTACTTCTCCCAAAATGTGAACACTGAGAGTTATTCTTAGAAATATAGTACAGATACTACATTGATCATAGTTTCTGTCCTGGCAATTTCATCAGGTTTATTTAATGTGCAGCTCTCTTAGCCCTGTCATGCTTAAATATTCTTGTGAGAACAGCTAGAGGTTTTGAACTGGTTGCCTAGTTCTCTTCTGGGAAGGCAACATGGATTCTGTTTTGCAGACATTAACAGCTTTGGAAGGAAGTTGGGTGTTGCCCATGCTTCGGGCTTAAGAAGCGATCTCCTATGGTTCTGGCCTCAAGATGTGACGTACATTTCCTGCTAATTGCTTCTCTTAAGTGAGAGATTGGCTGTTCCCTCTGAAGAAAAATTTTAATAAACCTTCCCATTTTAAACAGTTGTGTGATTCCTATTTTGAACTGATGTTTTCATCAATTTTTTTTTTTAAGCTTAGCCATGTCTAAATACACTACCTGTTAGAGGGCTTACAAAGCAGAGCCATGTATGGTCATTATGGGCCCTTCAACAATCATTGTGTTTCTTCTGTATAGCACTTACTGCTCTGAATAGTGGGGATACAAACACAGTGAACAAAACAGACCAAAAATCCCTTTGTGAAATTTTAATCTTTAGAAAATTGGAAAAAATTGGGCTGGGAAGATGATTCCATGGGTAAAATGCTTTCTCTATACACATAAAGACCTGAGCTTGAATTCCCACAGTCACGCATCCATGGGAAAAGCTGGGCATTTTGCAGGTTGGCGTGTATAATCTCAACCCTGGGAGGTGGAGACAGGAGGATCCCAAGGACTTGCTGGCCAGCAAGTCTAGCCAGTTGGTGAGCTCTGGGCTCAATGAGAGACCCTGTCTCAAAAAATAAGATGAAGAAGATAGAGGATGACACCCAACATTGACCTCTGACCTCCACAAGCGTATGGAAAGATGTGCTTGCACACACGTGTACACACTACATACCACACAAAACGTAATGCATACGCCACACAAATGAGAGACTTTCAAGACTCCTGTGTGCGTTGACGGAAGCTATGAGAAAGTTGTGCAGTACAAAAAGCAAAGGGAATGAATGGGTGAAAAGTTTGTCTCTGCATTGGTTATTTAAGGAAGCAATGAAAATGTACAGCCCACGCAACTGCCTGGGGGAAAGAAGGGTCTTCAGATGGTGGAAAGGAACAGTGCAAGTGCCTGGGGGACACTGGGTGGGCCTGGCTTGTTGGAAGACTAACAAGGAAGTCAGTATGACAGGAGCAGAGTGAGCTAGAGGAAGAGCAGTAGATGATAGAAGCAGCAGAGTTCAGTACAGAGGGAAGTTGGCATTAGTCTGCGTGGGGCTGTGAGGAGGACTTGGCAAAAGGTATCTCAGATCTCGGGGTCTGACTCAACAGTAGTATATCATCCAGAAGACAGCTATATATTAAAAGCAAATATGGAAACAGACCAGTTAGAAGATTGGCTCTGTTGATAAATGATGCCAACAGGGTTGTTGACCTTCTAGATATATTTTGAAGGTGGAGCCAACAGGATTTTCTGACAAGTTTGACAGTTTGGTCAAGGTTTCAAATTTGGAGGCAGTGATGAAGATAGGTTGGAAGAGGAATGGGAAGCAGATCAGGAATATATGGAGAAGTGTGTCAGATTCTAGCGGTTTACAAAATAGTAGAGTTCAGGGAGGAGGTCTGAACAGGAGAGTTACCCTTAATACTTAATGTGAAATGAGACCACAGTGTGTAACGCTAAGTGTAACAGTCTCAACCCTGTCAACAGATTGCGAGGTGAAGAGTAGAAAGAGACAAATATGTGGAAGTCAGTGGTGACCCTAATGGACTATCAGTAGAATCATGGGGACAGTGCACTAGATGTGAGGATGGGGGGATAAGGCAAGCAACATCAAAACATCATTTACTACTATTAAGGGATGAGACACTGTGCTTATGGGGATGATCCATGGAGAAGGAGAGCCAAGTGCATTAAATGGGCAGAATCTTAGGTAAAGAAGCCGACTGTGAAGATACAGGAGCTGGTGGTTCAGAAAGAACTAAGTGCCATAGAAAAGTTCTAAGCAGAAAGTAGCATGAGGAGCTAGAGAGATGGCTCAGCAGTTAAGAGCATTGCCTGTTCTTCC